CCCCCCCCCCCCCCCCTCTGCAATTTATAATTTCTCTATCGGCAGTATGGGTAATTTAGTAATTTTGCCTCACTCGGTATATAATACTTCAAAAAAAAAGTACTCATTTGGTGATTGTGTCCACCCTCAAAATTATTGCTAGTTTCGCCTCTGCTTGCTAGAGTAGCTCCTTGGCTTGAGGGAGTGCACCTAACTTTAGTTGAGTGAGGTTCTATGAGCATCTAATCTTGGATTAGTATGCTTGAGGTTTGGTCTAGTTTGGCGAGCACGCCAAACGTCGGTTGAGCATGCTCTAAGAATGTTTAGGTGAATACACTTGAGGTTTGGCGAATACTTCTGACAGCATTATGAAGTGAATAGGCTATGGCAAGTCCATGTTGATCCTGGCAAATTCATGGGGATTTGTACGAGTTCACCTTTAATGGTTGATTTGATTGTGTTGTTCTGAACCGGTACGACTTAGGTGTGTTTGGGGCGGTGGTAGGGCAGCGGCGTGGCGAGGCATCGCTATTAATCACTGTTTGAGGCGGCGCGGCGCGTTTTAGGTAAAAAGCGGGCCGTGGGTTCGGCCCGCAGCCCCGCTTTCTCGTTTGAATTTTTCTATTGGTGCTCTTTTTCTCGTCCGCCTCGAGGCCTTCAGCCTTGATCGGTGCCATCGTAAACTGGTTTGTTGGTACTCAACGCTTGCTCTGATTACCTGCAAGATCAGTTCATATGGCAGACCCGCTGGGAGGAGGAGCTGGAGAGGCTGCGAGAGAATCACCCCAAGATCCAAGCTGTTGTCTCTGCTTACCCCCAAGCACAAAATTACAGATCGAAATCCAACACTAAACAGTTGAATCTGGCAGCTACGAGATGCCATTGATGAGGTAAATTGATTTGCTCGATGACTTTGAGTACATGGAGCTTGAGAAGAACAGAAGCTGGTCAGACGAATCATGGAGAAAACAAAGTTGCTTTTTACAATCCCTAGCTTTTTTTTTATTTTTTTTTATTTTTTGAAATTGCTCGCAAATTTTGCAAAGTCGGCGAACGTGATTTCAAAATTGATCCCAACTTGGAGAGACTAGAGGAGATTGTGCTGATAAAGTTTCAGCTGAGGTCAATACTATCCTTCATCTGGAGAATAAGCTACCTAATTTGAAGTCACGTGCAGCTTTTCAAAGAAGTTAAAAATTTGCATTTGCTTTTTTTTTGACCTGTCAAAGAATTTTATTGATATACTTACTGAAATTGTTAACATATCGAGAAGCATTTGTTTGTTCTCTATACGGTTTCCATTTATAAATATGTTATCCAAGGCATTTAAAAACCTGAGACACCTTCGATACTTAAAAACTCACTAGGATGCCAAGATCTCTAAGCAATCTTTATCATTTGCAGTTCAAATCTGTAGAAGAGATTTATCAGAATATGGTTTTGATGATTTCTTACCAAATGAAGTGAGTAATATTTCTAATCTGCGTCAACTGAATTGCCCCCGAATGCTTTATTTACTGGATCTGGAAATGGGAAACTGAGGTCTCTTGAAGAATTGAATGAGTTTAATGTTAAGAATTGGGAGTGGTTATAGAATTGGGGGGGCTGGAACATATGCGTGAGTTGCACAAGTTAAGAATATAGTCTTGAAAATGTGAAGAATGCTAGAGATGCTCGCTTTGCAAAATTATGTGAGGAGAAAACTCAGATTTATTCTTGAAAACTGATGATGATGTGAACTTAGACATGGGATTTGAAAGCTTTCCGTACATTGTCAATTATCACTTAGATGTCAATTATCACTTAGATTTGAATGTGCTTCAAAATCTTAAACCATACAAAAATCTGAAGAGATCGTCGATGTGAATGTGCTTCTAAATCTTAAACCATACAAAAATCTGAAGAGATCGTCCATAGTTGCATGCAAGGGTGCAAGGTGTGTAGTAAAAGATGATTGTTTCTGTTATTGCTTTGTTGAACTTTTGCTCTGTTTTGAAATGAATTTCTGTTTCTAAAGTATCAAATAAGTGGTTGTAACAATTCTGTTTTAAACAAGTTTATTAAAAAAAGGACAGAATGATTATTTTTTCAGAAACTATTGTCTTATAGTTGTTTTCACACAGTTGCAACAAACAGACAGTCAGCTTCCAACACATCCTTAACGAACACCCAGTTCTTGAAAATATTTGATGATATAAATATAATAGTGAAATTTACATACCTAGCATGCAATTCTTATATATTTACACATCTCACACCTAAACCTTTGTATTTACATACATAGAACACAATTTAGAGTGTTGTGTGTGTAAATATGAAAGTTTAGGTTTGTGATAAATAAATACACTAGAATTGTGTGCCATGTATGTAAATGCCCCAATATAATTACATACATAGCACACAATTGTGTGTTATTATTATTATTATTTTGGGATAATTATATACAGGCCTCCCGATATATTGATATTTATAAATTAACTGCTCGTGATATCTTTCAATTATCAAACCATTGAGAGTTTGATAAAAATTGATGAAACAGGGTGGTTGATTTGTAAATAAAAAGTTTTGCGGTGGTCTGAATGTGCTGCCCCAATTACATATTATGAAGAATTAAATTGTTTGGGCGCAATGCTGGGAACGGAACAAAGAAGCACATCTGTCACCAGATTTTATAAGACTTTTTTCTCTTTGCATTCGGACAGCAAGCACGCACGTAAATAGTTGTCCTATATGAATTAAAAAAAGAGGCATTTACATGCCTACCACTCTATTCTCATTTTTTTACATATTGAACCCTCAAATGTTCATGTCTAACAAAAATATCACTATTTAAAAAAAAAGTTCAATACACTTTTTCATGCGTGGCAAAGGTGGTATGTGCAAAAACTGAGGTTTTGATGTTAGATCTATAAATACTTGAGAGTTTAGTGGTATGTGTGAATATCTTTCATCAAATTCAAGTATATGGTGAGAAAATTTCTCCATCAACATAAGATATGAGTATTAGATTTTATTTGAATTTTTAATAAGATGGAATGTAATATAAAGTTTATTTATTTATTCATGTATTATAATTATCTTTTGATTAAATATCAATCAGTGCCGTTTTTTTAAATTATTATATTTTATTTTATGTAAATAATAAATTAGATCGAAAATAAATCCAAGTATGTCTACAAGAAATTTGACCAACCACATATGGAAAAATTATCATGGCTGATGAAGAAAATTTATAGTTGGAATTAATAATTTATAAAACCTTAATTAAAATCTAATATTGTAAATTGCTCTTTATGCAATATCAACAACTTTAAACTAGGAAATTTTGTTATTTAGCATCCATAAATTTTCATTATCTAGCACGAATTTTGAGGCATGATATGAATTTGATGATTTTTTTTAGAAATTCGATTAAAAAATATACGGAGTTTTGATCTCAGGAACTTATAGTCAAACATAGTGAGTGAAATCAAGTGTTGGTATGATTTTTGAGGCAGGGGCAGACCCAGGTAGGGTCTAGGGGGTAATCGCCCCATACACAAATTTAAATTTTTACGTATATGAGAGAACAATTTGGTTCTTTGACTCTCTTGAAATATCAGTTTTGTCCTTCCTAAAATATCATTTTGCCCTTCGTAGCCTTAGCCACTAATATAAAAATGCATAATTATATTCTACCAGATGTGAAAATTTCTAATAAATGTGATAATGAGAAATGATTTCATAAATGAAAAGAAAATCGTTTTACTATAGTTATTCTCTATACATTAGTGGGATAACCTTTTAAGGTTATAGTCATAGTTGTCCCTTAGTATGAATTCATAATGATATTCATTTTTATCATTCAATTAATGCATATTGATACCATTATATATTTTTATCAATCCATGGCTCATACTATACTTTGGTCATAAATCTTAATACAAATTTGTCAAGCTATAAGAACACAAGAAAATAAAATGGAAGTCAAGCAAATAATATATGAAAAATGAGATTATAATATAAGGAACATTTTGATGGGCATAACATATTTCTTCTATGTGGTTTGGAGCATATATGAAATACACACGTTATAATTTCATTATAGATATAGATATATATATATATATATATCTGTGTGTGTGTATATATGCGCCGCGTGCTCAGATCAGTTGGTCGGACATCTGATTTATAGTTGTATCATTTGGTCTGGGGTTTGATTCTCCCGGAGTGTAGGATGTGGTAATCGAATTCTTAGACGCATGAGAGATAATCGAGGGCCGTATAATATCCTACTATCATTTTTATTTAAAAAAAGAGGAATTGAAAGTTGCCCAAATCAACCTCATTTTGCGGATGGTTTACTAGATTATTTAATTAATTTCAATTCTTTAATCGTCCAATTTTCAAAAATAAATTTTTTTTTTAATGAACCACTTTCTAGAGAATATATTGCCCAAATCCCGAATTTTTGTGTGGTACTCCCTTTTATAATTTCACAAATCTCATAGCAGTATCTACGGTTTATATTTCTTTAAAGTAGTAACTGTCCTTCCACTTATGCGTGGGATTTCACATTCTCTCGGTTACGCGCCGGTTCCAACCCTTGACAACTCGACAACTAGAAGATCAGTATAAAACGCTGAATCGAAAATAATAAAAAGTAGAGAATTCCGAACAGTATAAAATCAAATTTCTAGTCCAGCTTCGGCCTCCGGTTTCGACGAGCGCTCCCAGAAATCTGGAGCATTGCTTACGATTTTTTAGGGTTTTGGGTAGCAAAGTTGGAGTGCTCTTCAGCTTCAATGGAGTCTAAGTCGACTGGAAGGTTTAAGCTCGGCAAGCAGTCATCCCTAGCTCCGGATCGCGGCTGCGATGATTCTGTGGAGATGGAGTTTCCCCCAGATGTGGACGCCAATATCCGTCTCATGTATCTCGCGAACGAGGGTGATCTGGATGGGATGCGAGAGCTGTTCGATGCTGGGGTCGATGTTAACTTTAGGGATATTGACGGCCGGAGGGCACTGCACGTCGCTGCTTGCCAGGGATCCGCGGAAGTCGTCGAGCTGCTTCTTGATAGAGGGGCGAAGGTCGACGTGGAGGACCGGTGGGGCAGCACGGTGATTCTTCTTGTGGATTTGAGCTTGTGTTTTGATTAGTATGCTTATTGTATGTTGTTTTTGGGCTCATTTCTGTTGTTGTTTGATTGGTGCTGGTTGGATCACGGTAAAGTCTTTTGTTTCTAGTAATTTGGATTGCTAGTTTGATTTGACATTTTCAGCCTTGGTTGAATATAGGATAAGATGTGCTTTGTTCCACGGCTCAGGTCGTTAATGGTTGCTTTCAAAATGGATAAATGAGATTAAAAGTTTGAATTTAATAAACTGCACGGAGAATTCAGTTGGTGTGGGTTGGGTTAAGTTCTTGTTTGACTTTTGTCAAATGGTGTTGGTTTCTTGAGGTCTCTTTCTCTCTGGAAATGGAGGGCTTAATGGTCCAGGGATCTTTTTTTTCCGTATGGATTGCCTGCTCTTGAATCGCTGTTTGGGTTGGAATAATAATGTTAATGATAGATTGGGTTGGCTGTTTTTGTAAGGCTAGATCATTCAAAATGCATTTTTGAGGCTATATGAAGTTATTTAACTTCATGATTTTCCTAGAAGATGGATGTCTCCCAAAGCTTGTTTGTGTTCGGCTCGTTCAAAACCTTGTGGTTATCTATAAGGGTGTAAACGAGTCGAGCATGTTCTTGATCGGTACGTTCAAAATCCATTTTGTTCAAAATAGATTCTATTCAAAATAGCTCGTGAATAACTTGTTCATGTTCGCCTTGATTCATATTCGTTTGTTTGAATTAGCTCATGTTTGGCTAAGATTTGAGCTCAACAACCAGAACTCACACACAACTATAGGGCTTAAATGAGAGATTTCTCTTCGTACATTAAAACACCTGTAAGGATGTAAGCAAAGTACTCCCACTAATGTAGGGCTAAACAGATAAAAGAGAAAATCTGAAAAAAAAAAAATAATGGTTTTCGTGAGATCTGGCTTTCTCCATGTTTTTTTGGGGCATTTACATGAATACCCACCAATTCCTATTTATTTACATATCTAACTCCTAAACTTTAATTTTTAAATTTATACCATTTAAATTTTATTACGTTTTCTATAGTTCTCGGTAATTGCTGCAATTCTTGGATCCTATATGGGTATTTACATACATAACTTTCAATTCCTATTTTTTTTATATCTAAAACTTAAACTTTACTTTTTGCTATAGTTCTCTCTGACTGCTGCTGTTCTTGAAATCGTGTGTGTGTGTGTGTGTGTGAATGAGCACCAGGTGTTCGTGAACGACGAGCTTTTTGACAAACCTAGTTATGCATTTGGCCTTTTCCAACATTACATCGATAGTTACTCAAATTGCATTGCTATATGTTTTAAACTTTTTTGCGCATCCTAACAAAAACTTTCTTATATTGTTGTATCCCGATGTCTAAAATAGATTAGTCATTCTAGATTTACTAAGCCTTTACCTAACCCAATAACACAAAGATAACAGAACATTATTTTCTTTGGAGACTAGTATTTAGTTGATGATATGCCGCTATCTGACAACTTGATGTTCTCAGGTCATATACATTCTCCATTTCCTGTGTTTATACATGCTTTGTGCTTTATCCCTTATAGTTCTCTAAATGATCTTTTAAAAAGGAAGATTTTGCAACATCATGTCATTTGTATATACTAAATACATTTAGCACATGCATTTTTTTCCATCCTGAAATATTGAACATGCTTAAATACCGAAAAATTTCTGCGCTTGATTTAAGCTCTTTTATACGTCCTAACGTAGTTTGTCTCTTTTTGATGTTGCCATTTTTACAATTAATGATTTATCTAAAACATCTTAGTTATTTTAAATCGAATCTAGGCTAATTTTTCCTGTATAATTAATTAATAATACTAATGCATTGATAATATTTTATTGCTAGGATTCAACCCTGATGCTTTGACATCCTCTTGCTGATGCAAAATTTATATGTTATTATGTTGCCTATCTTTAATTTTAATTATTCAATTAGAAATTTTGAGTTAATCTAAATCCTTTTTCTCAAAGAATGCTCATGGATGTAAATATAGTTATTGATAATTTTTTATTATTAGATCTTAAGATCCGTGCTTTGACAGCCTCTTGCAGATGCAATACACTACAAAAACAATGAAGTTATCAAGCTTTTAGAAAAGCATGGAGCTAAACTTCAGGTATGGATTATTCAAAATTTCATGCAATTTGGCATTTAAAAGATTTTTAGAGTTTAGCAACTTTTCTTAGGTGATCTCTCTGATATTTATTTTTTGGTATGTTTATCCGCAGATTGCTCCTATGCATGTTAAAAATATTCGCGAAATACCAGAATATGAGATAGATCCTCGAGAACTTGATTTCACTAACAGTGTTCAAATTACTAAGGTATACTCTTTTTTTGCAAGTATTTCATTTATTCTGCGAAGCTCTTTTGATCCCTTATCACTAATTATTAAAGTATATTTTTTCACTGCATACGTGAATTTTAGTTTGTGCTTTGTGCTGTACATATCCCTTCTTCATTTTCTGTTGTTTAGTATATTTTGAATGTTAGTTCAAGCCAATTAACCTGGTTTTTATCTTCTATTTTTAATTAAAATGAAATTTCTGATGAAGGGGTATGACGCCTTATTATACTTATATAATTGTGGGGGTTTGCTCTGTTATATAATGATGACTACTGTGTACTTGAAGATTTATTCAAAATCTCTTTGCAATTATACGTTGAATGCTATGCTTGTTGCTAAGAAAACATTTTCAGGGAACATTCCACATGGCGACATGGCGTGGAGTCCAGGTTGCTGTTAAAAGGCTTGATGAAGATCTATTAACTGATGAAGATAAAGTGTAGGTTTGGTCATCAATTTCAGTTAGTTGCTGTTTATGTTCTTGGCTAGATTAAGTTTTTCTTGTTTATCTATGTTTATTTTATTGTTACATGTTGCAGGAAGGCATTTAGGGATGAACTTGCATTGCTGCAGAAAATAAGGCATCCTAATGTGGTCCAGTTTTTGGGTGCTGTTACTCAAAGCAGCCCTATGATGATTGTCACAGAATATTTGCCCAAGGTTTTTTATTGCTCTGAGAATGACTGTTTTTCTTGATGCTTTGGAAACGTTTTGTCTGGCTTGTTTTTTATGCATGACGCAGCTTGTTGGCTTCTTGTCAAATTTTGTCAATGTTCCCTAGAACTATCCATTTATGCTGTAGCATCACTTATAAAGGATTATAACTGCATCCTTATAGCATGGCAGATATGTTGCATTCTGGGGTAGCTAAAGATGCATTTTATGAATGCTATAAATTATCAATAGGAGCTCGCTATTCTGGCCTACAATAACCAATCCTATTTGTGGAATTTGTTATACAATTAATGTTAGCTGACACATCAATTTGTGTAGATAGCTGACACAATACATTATGAATAGGGTTGCCCCTCTTCTCGGTTGGTTATAGTGATTGTGACTGTAAGTGGTTCGATGTAGTGCCACAATATTGGCTTGTTAATTAACTAAAAAGTGCATCAATTCCAAGGGGTCTAGTGTGGCTCTCACAAAATGAAAACTCTTAGCGAACGAGTTCATTATTGAATCACTCATGTAGGATTACTGTTATTGAGGTTATCCCCTTTGCACATTTTTGGAGGTGGGATTTTGAGCAGTGGTGGCTTACCAAAGCTTAGATGCCATGCATTGTTTGTAATTTGTGGCATTAAGGTTAGTTTCCTTTGCTAACTGGCCTTTCATCAAAAGGGATGCACTTCATTCTTAACTCTACATCACCATGATGCTGATTTACATCTTGTTAATTCAAGAAACATTTATATTGTGAGGCTCCACAGACTGGTTGTTCATATTTTCAAGTCCCTCTATGCTTCTTACATAATTGATGTTGTGAATATGTATGCACAAGGTCCATCTACGGATTGCCTAACTTACCTTTAAGTTGCTTGTTTCTAGGAAAGCAGGCCCATGAAGATAACTAACACATTTCTAATGACAAACTTCTGAGTTCTATCAAAGGGTATTGCGGCAAGCTTTGTGCGATGAACATATACTAACTGTAAATCCTTCTTTGTATCACGGAACTTGTGATGCTTTTTCTCCATGGAATTCCAATCTGATGATGTGAATTAGCAGTAAGCACTATGTCACTAGATTACTGTCGTCGGTTGGGGGATTATCCCTTAAAGAAACACAATGGATTGCATATCTCCCTATGAAAGAGGCTAATATGGATATTTGCCATCTCGAATGAAGACCCAACCTCAATGGATGATTCCTTACTGATATCATTCTGATTATGTTTAGTAGTGTTTATTTATGCAAATAATAACAACAAAGAAGCAAAATATATCTCTTCGATTCCCAACTTGATAAAACATTATCAGAATAATATCTTTCATGATCTCCATACCATAAATGCTGAGGGGATTCTAAGTTCCTATTCTCCAAAGAAGTGGTGTCTTGGTTCCAACATACAGTTTTTTACCTATTGAGCAATGGCCATTCCATAGTCCAGTCATGCCTTTCAATAATAATTGATACATTTTTTTTGGGTTAAGGCTAAAGAGGTTTTGACCTAAACTGTGGTTTGATAATGGCTCTATGGAAGTCCATAAAGTTGTGGTTAGATATAAATACAATCCAAAGCATAAATTTGATAGGATGTCTTTGGCATAGCTATAGTCAAAGAGGGTATGGCCAAAACCATAACTTCAATATGACTCTATTAAGTGTTTCAAGCAACCGTTTAAAGGGTTCTGCCCGAACCTTTAGCTTCAAGATGTTTGTCTTATGCTAGCTATAGGTAGATGGGTATGACTGAAAACATAAAACCTTTAGAAGTCCTTAAAGTCTTAGAGAAGTTGTGGATAGATAAAGGCCCCATTATAGTCACAACCCTAATATATAAGCCTCTTCATGTCCTTGGAATAATTATACATAGATGGTATGACTTAAGGCAAAACTTTGGTAGAATCAACAAAGGGATAGGAGCCAAACCTCAACTCATTCGATTTTCTTAGTCCTCGAAGCCAAAATGGCAAAAAGGGGTTTGGCCTAAACCCAAACTCCAATAGGATACATCCAATTCTTCAGTTTAATTCATATATTCGATTGGGCACCTTTAAGTCCTTGGAGCAGTTATTGCCATTGAGTGTGACTTAAAACTATAGTTCCTAAGGACTCTCATAAGTGCTTGGAGTAGCTGCGGTCATAGAGGGTACAATTCAAACCATGATTTCGGTTCAACTCTTTTCTGTCCTTGGAGTTATTGTGCTTAGGGGGAAATACGACCCGACTGACAACTTTTAATAGCTTTTTGTAGTTCATATTTTTACAATTATTGTATGGTGCTCGACCTTGATCACAGCCATGGGAGAACTTCATATTATTCACATATAGGATATCATTACTCACTTTTAGTAGAGGCTAGAGATGCAAGCAATCTAACAAAAAATGCTGCCCAGAGAGAATTTTCGACATCATGAGAGTGGTTGGTGGTGAAGGTTTAACCCAAATTGAACTTGTCTCAGGTTCTCCAACTTTGTGTTGGATTCAACCTTAAGGAACCACAAATCACAGAAACAATTTTTTCGATAGTGTGGCTTGCAGACAAGGCTTCCACCATGTCTAAGCAAAGCACTTAGGAGAGAAATCTAGTTGTGGGATTTTTGTATCATGAAAACTATTTTAATGGTCAAGGAGTTAGCAAAAATCCTTTCCAAAAGAAGTCGTGGTATCTCTTACCTCATCATTTGGAATTAATATTCTATCCGGACGTCCAACCACCGGCCGTCATGTCGCTCACTGATGACGTGTATGGTGGCGTGGCCTCCGATGATTGGCCGTCCGGACAAAATATTTTCTCCATCATTTGGGAGAAGTGGGAAGTCTACGTTTTATAGATGCACAAAAAATAATCATGCCATACAAGACAAACTTCCTTTTATGACATTACAATTACAAAGTCGCACTTCTGGAAGAACATGTACCTCTTATCTTGATGAAGGCTTTGTAGCTTAAGGAACAACGGATAGAGCAATCTAAACTTAGCCTGGATAATTCTTTCGAGTTTAACGGAATGAAGAACCTCAAAAAAGCCAACCCAAAAGGCTTTTTATGAGGACAATCTTTCAAAGACATGTTGAACCGTATGGCCAACAACATCCACTATGCATTGCAAACATCATTTTATGGGAAAATTTTCATATTATTGCAGTGAAAAAATTATGATAGGTAGAGGACACTTGCAAAATTGGCTTATGAACTTTAAGGGGCAAAGCCATAAGAAAAAAAAATGGGAAAAAGGTAGAGAAAGTGAAGATCCCAAAAAGCAAGCAAATTACGAGCAATTATTAGTTTTCTTCTGTACTAAAACAGGTATGACCTAAACAAATCAATGAGATAGCCATGCCCAAGAAGCTCCTAAGGCGTCTGTTGCCAGCTATGAAGCAATTGACACGACTTATTCCCTCTTGAGGGACAGCATACCATCTTCAATTACCTTAAGAAGGCATGCAGAATTTGATGACTCAAATTCTGCAGTGAGGTTCTCTTAATTAACCATCCCACACCAAACTTTAAAAAAAAAATATCGGAGGCATGGATGCTGCAAGTGGGAGACAAATCATAGAGATAAAGAAGAGCCTCACAATTAGCATAAGAAAGAGATGATCGCGAATAAGAATACAAGAAGCAAGTCATTTATTTATTGACATTCATCTTGAATTATAACCCAGGACCTATTATTTATATAAGCAGTTATATGTTAATGGACATTGTAACCCATTAATTATAATATATTGATGGTCATGTCCAAGTAGCAACTGCATCTCATGACAAATAACTAAATGATGCAAAGATAATGATATAGTTATAACACATAATATTCATGTGCCACTATAAGATATAACCATTATGAAACACAAATAACAAGTAAATGGAGTTGATGCAGGGAGTGGAAATGGATTTTGGAAGTACAAGAGGGTCGAAAGGGTGGGTGGTGAAGACTCCAAAGTTATTTTTTATAGTTAATACCTTGGACTGACAGGTGAAGACCTCAAACATTGTGTTAGATCGGCACAAATGACACTTTCTGCCACACCGAGCCTTTTTAGTCAATTTGACGACTTATTTTAGGCGTAAGGCTAACTCAAACGCAACTTCCCCCTTTTAAACGCCGACAGCTAACATATAGTTTTGTCATTTATTTTTATTATTATTATCTGGTATAAATATGTTTATATGTTTAGAATTTGTCATGCTTGATATTGTTGTCCGGAGTCTTACGAGTTAGAGTTTGGAGAGCTTGCCTACCTCTCAAATTGTAGGTGGTTATCTTGGTCTTCGGAGTTGTAATTGTTGATTTGCTTTCGGTGGAATAAAAGTATAGTATTTTTTCCCTAATTCCTTTCTAAATGGCATTAGGGCAAATTTCTGGAAACAATCAACAGGAGTAGCCGATGGCATCTCAGCGCAATACATGACGTGGGATCGTCATACAGTCGTGTTTAGAGCTTCTAGATAAAGTTTTGACGGGGTTACTACTTATAGAGATCCAAAACTTTCTTGTTTCTCCTCATGCTTCGTCATCGCTATCCAGTTACGATTAGAGCTAGTTGCGAAGCAAAGGAGACATTGCGGTGTACAGAGAACACGACGTATAAACGATCACATATTGTCCTCCTTTCGCTCCATAATCATGATCTAGTCGCAATTGGAGCTAGCTGGGAAGCTTTTTGTCTTGACAGAACTTGAAACAAGACCTAGCAGGGGATTGCGGGGTACATGCCTTAGGAAAGTCGAAGGATCGTGACATAAAAGAGTCCTGTGCTGCTCTTGTTCAAAATTGGCGATCAGGATCGCGACATGAAGGAGTTTCGCATCTTGAGATTGGGATCAGTGTCATACAAAAGTTTGGAATGCTGCTTTCGGAGTTTTGGGCGGCTTCCAATAGTTTGAATTGAACCTCATTAAGGAATTTAGGAATTGTGATGTTTGGAGTTTCGTGCATGTCGTTTTTTTGGCATAGAAGGTATTTTGAAATTGTACACAGAGTAATGACT